AATGATTTTAGGATGAAAGATTTTGAGAATTTTTTTAGATTTTAATTTTTAATAATAAACAATTTTAAATTTTTAAAAATTTATAAAGATATCATTTTGAGTGGTTGACGAAATTTTTTTAACATCTGTTACAATCGATACACTTAAATAATAACATTAAAAACGTTAAACACTTAAATTGACCAAAAATATTTAATCACTTAAATAAAAAGTATGTACAATTTGGGCATTTTTTATATATTAAATCTATTAATAATATTAATTTAATTTATGTCATGTCAATATTTGAATATACGTAAAAATATTAGATTAGTATTAGATTAATATTATTAATATTATTAATGGATTAACCATTTTTATTTAATATGTTATATCTATAACTTTTAGTAATCTTTGATAATACAAGCACTCTACAAATACAAATATTCAAACCTAAAAATTTTAAGATAAAACAAAACTCCCTTCGATCAAAACGTGAAATTTTTGATTAAAAACAACTGAAAATTGCCCAAGAAAAAAAGGAAAGAGATCAAACCGTCGTATAATCGACATATTTCCCGATGGAATCCCAAAGCTCCGACGAAGAGGATCAGTTATTCGATGCACTCGACGACTTCCCCTTTTACGATTGCCTTACCTGTGATCAATCAGAGCCTTCCACGTCTCACTTACCCTCTACTCTATGCAGAAGAACCTTCTCTCGCCGGGAAATCACCGGCAAGGAACCCATTGAATCCCTTCCAGAAGCTTCCACTCTCGAAGACCACTCCAGGACCAGGTCCAGTTCTAGAGAGCCAAGATACAATATTTTCTTCGATTTGAAGCCAAATGAAAGCATTTTGGCGGTAACTGAGTCATCTCGGGATGGAGTTAGCTCCATCCGCGTATCGGAGGAGAACAACAGCGTCGAATCAACGATCACCATTGCTGAAAATGTGGAATCAGTTGACCAAGCCCGCAATAATTGCGCCGACTCGAGCGCTGAGTTCAGCGAGTCACTAAATTCTAATTCCAGTTTGCTAATGTTTATAGTTGGTTTTGTGATAAAGGCAATCGGGTTCCAGTTAAATTTGCTGATTAGCTCCGTTACATTACCTATATCATTTTTAAGTCACGGCTGCATGTTTATAATTGATCCTTTTCAAGCTTTCAATCATGGTAAAGCTTATGTAATCACAAAGTTGTTAAATTTATGGGATTCGATTTGTGGGTATTTTAGCCCTATGATGAATGACTGCATAAACTATCATAAATAAATATGGAACCTCGTGTTTCGATTCTGCTGGGGAATGTTCTTTGCTACATATGTTGGCTGTGTTTTATTTGGTTCAATGTTAACTTCACTTGCTAGCAGTGAGGTTCTGATGAGGTATTTGGTGGAGAAACCATTGGAGATAAAGGAAATGTTGAACTTCGATTGTACTAAGACTAGTCCCGTTGCATTTGTTCCGATTGTATCTTGTGCTGCCATCGGCTGTGATTCGAAATGTAGGGAGAAGATAGATGTTTGGAAGAATGTGGGTCCCCGAGTTATATCAATGGATCACAAATTGAAGGTTACTGTTTCTTTGACATTGCCAGAGTCAGAGTACAACAAAAAACTTGGGATGTTCCAGGTATTTGTTTGATTTACGGAATGCAGAGGTTGCTATTATTTTCATGTTAATTTCCTTATTCATTTATGGTTTGCATTTTATATCTAGAAACCGAATTTATGGTTCTGATTGTTGTTCAAGTATGGTTACATTCTGTACCTTTTAATCTACTCATCATATAACATGTTAAATGAAGTAACTTGACATAGGGAGTTAGTGAATTGTCTTGTTGTGGCACTCGGAGTGTCTGTCGACCTTAACAATCCGGCATTTTTTCCCCACAGGTTATTTACCTCTTGAGTAGGTAGAAAGTGTATAGCCAGTATTTTTGCAGGAAATTATAGTTATTGCTAAATTCAGGGGATTTTGTAGTATTCTGCTTCTTATGCTAGAATGCCTGATAGGTTAGTGGCAGCCTAATACCATAAGTTGGGTGACTTTTTGGAGATCAATCAATTTGCGTACTAGCAGCATGACCTTAGAGTTTTCTAATAATTGCCACTTCTCTCCATCACTTATATTTTCTGGTGTATTACATTCTCATGAACATTTCTATCCTGTATGTCAGTTTGTATTAATAATGTAATACATTGATCGAGCTTGATGTTAATTTGGCTGAAACCCAAGTCTAGAAAAAGGCTACTGAAATTTTCTAACAAGGAAAGATGGTCGTTTTATAGATGGCAGCTTCTTCGCGGCTTCTTCGTGAGTAGTGGATTTCATTATCAGTAAATTAACCCATGAGTTTTACTTGTAAACAAATCGGTAGTTGATGACTTGTAACGTTTTTCTTTTTGAAGGTGAGGGTAGATTTCCTATCTGTTAATGGTGAAACTCTTGCCAGCGCAAGCCATCCATGCATGTTGAAATTCAGGAGTGAGCCTATCTGCCTTTTACTGACATTCTTCAAGGTTGCTCCTCTAATCACCAGCTATACTTCAGAAGCACAGACTTTGAATTCGAAGATTAGAGGTTTAAATGAAGGAATCGTGCCTACCGATTGCCTAAGAGTAGTACTTGAACAATGAGCAGAGTTCAGACCGGCTGCCGGTATTCCTGGATTATACGATGCATCCCTCATACTTAACTCAGAACTTCCTTCTATCAAAAGAATCATATGGTATTGGAGGAGAACTATTTTCGTATGGGTCAGCGTTGCATTGTTTACGACACAGGTATTGTTTACTTTAGTTTGTTGTAGACCTTTACTCATTCTAAGAACACGGACGAGGGATGGTTCTGCTAGGAGCACGTCTACACGGAATAATCAACAAATACTGCAGAGCACTTTATTTGTTTCAACCACTTTGTAGTAGCTGAAGGGAAGTAAAATGAAGATTTTGCCTAGTTTTAGTTGCCATGTTATTTCCTAGGCTTATCATGTACAAGTTCTCACTTGTGTTCCGTGTTTACAAATTCTGTCTCGTAATTCTAATGACTAAATCTCTTACAATCTCAAATATCACTTGAAATTAATTTGTTCGATACCGATGCATATGAACAGATTATTTGATTGATTGATGGTAGATTTTTCATGCCATGCAGAAATCATGTGCTTGTTGAACAAAAAGGCTCCTCAGTTTGAACAACCTTTCCAAGGCGGCGCATACCGTGAAATGCATATGGAACATGTGATCCCAGCTATACATAGTTTTGATTTACACAAAAATAAAACAAAAGCATAAACCACCTTTGTTTTTTTAGGGTTTCAAGTAAAATTTTAACCACAATTACGTGAACTCTTGAGGAAAGAAGTACTCTTGGTTATCTCCCGCAATGGCTTGTCAGTGTACCTCACCATGTTATAAACCCAAGCACCCGAGACGGCCCCGAGTGTTGGTGCGGTCAGATATATCCATATCCCTCTGTAATGGTTCGACACAATTGCAGGTCCCAAGCTCCTTGCTGGGTTCATTGATGCTCCTGTAATTGGCCTGTCCAGCCAGTATCTCAAAACATCAGGCATAAAATTGAGATGACTGAAAAATGGTTTAATTACATCAGGAGTCATCAAACTATTGAATTAGATGCTAAATTAGTTCCTTCTAATCAATCTTTCTGTCAAGGAAATATTAGATATAGCCTAAGTAGGTTAAGGTAAAAGTACCCAGCAAACATCACATTAAGCAGCACAGTGGCGCCAACTGCAAGCCCGGCAAGCTCTCCAATCTGTACATAAATAAATGCGGTTTTTAATCGGTATTATTGTCAGGCCCGTTTATGAGATTTTAGTGGCTCGGACCGAATTTAAAAATTAGGCATCTAATAATAAATATCGAAAAAATTAAATTGTAAGAGTAAGAAAAAATAAATAATTTTGTTTGTAAATAATTTTTTAGTACGTTTAATAAACTATCTAATAAATACATAGCTATCTCAGACATTTTCGGGACCTGAGCGAAACTAAAGGATAGACCCTTATAAAATGAAAGTATATTCTAATACTTAGAATAATTAATTTAATATTACGTTAATAAATTGTATAAAAATGATTAAATTAGGAGCTTAAACTATAAAAGTAAAAAGTATGATTGAAAAAATTAGGGACTCTAATTATAAAGGTAAAAAGTGATATTAGAAAAATATGGGCATCAATTTTAAATGTAAAAAGTGAGATTGAAAAAAATTAGGGCCTAAATTATATGAGTAAAAAATGGGATTGAAAAAATTAGGGATCTCAATTATAAAGGTAAAAAGTGAGATTGAAAAGTAGGAGTTTAATTATAAAGGTACAAGGTGGGATTGAAAAAATTAGGATATCAATAATAAATGTAAAAAAAATGGGATTGAAAAAAAATTAAGGACCTCCATTATAAAGATAAAAAGTAGGATTACAAAAATTAGGGACCTCAATTATAAAGATAAAAAATTAAAATTAAAGGGTTAACTTATAAAATAAACAATATTATAAAAAAATTAAGAACAACATACAAAATGAGGGGCATGAAGAGATGCTCAAGGTGCACCCCTAATAGCCAAAAAAAAAGGAATATAGTTTTAACGAAAAGCAAAAAATAATTTATAAATATCATATCAATATCGTTCTTGATTTTTTATTGATGGATAACCAACAAAATTAAAATATAACATGAAGTATAATTTAAAAAATAGTAATTGGATAACTAAAACAAATATAAAATAATAGATGAGTGACTAAATAAATAAATTATTATTTTTAAATTATATATGAATTTTATAATTTTGGACCCGCGTAACCCTTTGCCCATGCGTAAGGCCCTACTTATAGCCTAATTAATCAATGTTATAATAAATAAATACGATTTTTAATTGATTTAAAATTCGAATATCATTATCTTGGACCATTTCAGTGTGTCTAGGGTGGTCTTCTTTGTAAAAAAAAAATACATTGATGGACATTGATGGCATGTGGGGTTCCCTACTTACTGCTCTGTTATCAGTCGCAACACCGGAGATAATGAACATGAGATAGAAAGTGATGATGAACTCAACAACGAAAGCCTGCAAATCCGACCCCTGCGGCGACGTTCCGGCGAACACATCGTGTGGTCCACTAAACAACAACCGTAGAGTACCGGCAGCCAGAGTTGATCCCATAACTTGAGCCAATATATAAGCCGGCACCTAAACAAAACAACCAAGCAAATCATGACTAACCATTGGAAACTCCGCACAGCATGGCATTGAAACAAACACATTAGATAATCAAAATTTTACCTGTCTGAGAGGAAATCTTCTGCAAGTAGCGAAAGCAATGGTGACGGCGGGGTTGAAATGAGCACCGGAGATGTGACCAACCGAGTAAACCAAGACCATCACGGCCAATCCCCACACTATCGAAATCCCCGGAAGCGAAACCACTTTCTCATTGTTTACATTCACTACCACAGACGCACAACCGGCAAATATCAAGAAATATGTGCCCAATAACTCGGCCATCAGCTACAAATTCATCATCATCATATCAATAACATACTATATAAAAAGACAGATAAATATATAGACATATAGATACCTTTTGTATGAAAGATACAGATAAACCGATGTCGGAGATCGAGTCTTTTCTTTTGGGAGCCGAAGGAGGAGGAAGATGAGTATTGGTTTCACCATTTACATTCAAAACCACTTCTTGGTTTCCATTAGTACAATTGATCTCAGCCATGACAAGAAAATCAGTACCAAAGAAATTAAACCAAAACAGAGGAGGACAAAAGACAGAAAGATTGCTTGCTGTATTAGGCTTTTGTCTCCTCAACAACCAAGGGAACAAGTGTTCTGCAATAACCTATCAAATCAAGGCAATATAAGGGTCAGCTTGAATGTTAAAAAGAGGGAGAAAATTGGATTTTTTCCAATAAAGAAAATAAAGATTTGACTATGAACATATTTATTTCATATGTGATTGTATGGACTTTGGAGATAACGTTGAAAAATGGGACTGTATGAACAGAGAGAGCAAAGCATTGAAGGCTGCTTGAATTCATATTCCAAGTTCAACTACTCACCGGTTATACAGAAAGTCATGAATGCCAACCGCTAGATGGTAATGGTTCCCATTTAACTTGGTAAATTTTAGGGTTTGATCCAATTTTGGGAAAAGTTTTATGTAATTAAAGGCGCCATTTATGTCCAAATATAGGATTATTTTGATGTTTATCTTTAGAGGATAATGGATTTTATCATATGTTTGTCTCATGTGTCTTAATGTGTGTGTATATATCTAAAAATATAAATTAGATGCACCAACTAACTTATCTAAGTGAGTAAAGGATCGTTATTGTTCTTAGATGTCCCGTGCTAGAGCACCAGTGATGCAAGGATAATTGAACGTTCATTGTTGAGAGTACTTAGAACAGATATTACTTTTAAATAAAAAAATATAAATTAGGTCTAGTCAACATAGAATATATATATAATTATTTAGAGTAGACTATTCTAAATATAATTAAACTCCAGGATTTATATCGATTTTATTATTAAATTTTAAATTGAATGAATTATATTGTTAAAGGTTTCCTTTTCTTTTGCCTTAAGAGATATAGCATTGGATTGTTAAGTGTTAACCCATTAACTCCGTGATGATATGGTCCTTTTTTTCTCGTTAATTTTAATTTATGTATTAATTTTATCATTAAACTTTAAAATACTTTAATTTTAGACGTTGAAATTGTTAGATGTTGCGGTCAATTATCGTTTGTCATTGATCATCATTTTTGATAATATCAAAACATTAATATTTCTTTTTTTCTTTCTTCTCATGATTTGTTTTTTTTCTCGAAATTGTCTCAAAACTAACGAAAACCCTTCTCAAAGTTCAGTGTACTAATACTTCAACTCCTTCCATAGTTTTCCAATAAAACTAGTTTCGAGGTATGTTGTCTTTCTTCTTGAAATAATATTTCTTGTTGTTTGAATTTTCGAACAAACAACTTAAACCCCAAAAAATGATAGACTTTTGTGTATTTAAATTCATAAAATTTAAATAAATTTTGAGAAAATCTAAATCGATAGAATTGTAGAAAACATTGAATCGAGTACATCGATATTTAGTGTGGCCACAAAAAAGTTAGAGAATGACAATTTTCGGTGACAACTAAAAATGGACGGTAAACCCGATTTTGACGAAGAAGATGATAAGATAAAATAAAAAAAATAATACTCAATCTGTCCCACTAAATATGTCTCGACTTTTAAAAGTCAAAAATTTTAAATTTTAATCATTATTATTTTAAATAATTAAATTGTATAAAATATATATTATAAACTATTTGATTTGAAGTTGTAAAATATTTTTTTATATTTTTATAATAATAAATTTCAAATAATAATGATTTAAAATTAAAAAAAATTAATTAAAAAAAGTCTATATGTAAGAAAAATATCTAATATAACTGAGTGAGTAGTTTTTTAACTTCTACAACAATACCGTGTCATAAATTTATTAACGCATTAGCGAGTACTCAATGTTATAATTAAAAACGTACAAGTAAAATTTGAATAATAATATTAATAGATGTTTAAAAACTTTAAACTCTAAGTATTAACATTTAAATAGAACCCGTGACAACAATTAAACCTGTCCTTAAATTTTTTATTTTTTTTATTTTTGTCTAATAATGTATGAGATAATAATCCGTCCCAAGAAAGAGGGGATGTTGCGTGGGACTCGATGCAATTTGCGTAATCACAGCCTAATAATGGCTAACAAGTAATCAAGGGTTAGGGTTTCACACCTTTATTATATTTTTAAAAATATTTGTTCCTTTCATTCCCATGGTAGATCGTCAATCTCTTCAAAACCAACACAACAATGAAACCCTATATTTTATATATATAGTCAACATGGAATTTTCGATAGGCACAACATATACTTTTCAACCTCTATATAGTTAATTGAACAATGAGTTTTTTTATTAATATAAGTTAATTAGAATATAATATTTATTCAAAATCTTTTTTAGTTATTGGCAACTCACATACATCCCACACAGGGTCGTGGCTAGGTTGTCGGGGGTCTTGTAAAAATTCTTAAAATGAGCCACTATTTTCTAGATATATTCGATTTTAAGGCAACAATAGTGGCGTTTGTTTGACAAACGCCGCAATAGGTCCATCTATAATAGCATTTTTTCAATAAAAGTCGCAACAACAGTGGCGTTTCTTTGAAAAACGCCGTAATAAATCCATCTATAGTGGCGTCTATTAGAAAAATGCCACTATAGATATACTTTTTTGGGGCCCCTATTTTTTTGGGGGGCCTGCGCGGTCGCCCATCTCGCTCTGCCCCAACCACGGCACTGATCCCACAGACACAATTATTCAAACTCGAGATGTTTAGGGTGACAACAATCCCTTTAATTATTAAAATCACTTAATGGGTTCAACAATGGAATTTTTTAATACGTTTCTAGTTTTTTAAGTATAAAATTAAAGTATAAAAGTGAACTTTTAAATTTTAAATTTTAAAACAGTGTAAGAATCTTAAAAAAATAAATTAAAATTAAATATCGAGTACATCTTCACTTCATTTGTGATTAAATTGATAGGTGTAATTCCAAAAACTAAATACGAAAAGTGGAAAAGAATTTGTTGCTTGAAGAATTGTCCTGAATTATTCCTAAATGAAGAAGACACGTGATATTGTATGTAGATGGCGGTCTTCCATGATGGCGATATTAATGGTGAAGGAAAGGAAAGGTTGTGGTGGCGTTGAATTTCATGATCAAAATGATCTCATGAATTGCGTGATGGACTTAAATTAATGGTGTCTACATTGTGCTTTAATCGTGTGTAATTATGCTCTAATCATGCTTATTATTATAATTATTTATTGCTGACTTTTAAATCCAACTCATATACATTCCTACTCATGATCTAGTATACAGTTATAAAAGAATATAAATGTGAAAGGAATTTGCATATTTCTCATAACAAAGAGAAGACCAAAAAGATGGCATAAAAATGGAGAAGCTAAAAGGGCAGCAAGTCCCCACCATGGAAATCCAAGGAAGATACAGTGGTAGTGGGACTCCCACATTTCATTTTCTATGCTATATTTAATGCTCTTGACCTCATATGTCCAATTCAATGAGGGATATACTAACCTCAATTGGTCAAAAAAAAATAAATAAAGATAAACGGTTGAAAGATTGAATTCATTGATTGAATTAAAGTGATGAAAGGGATTGTTGTTATTTTTTTGAGGTTATAGGTTCGAGCAGTTACGTCTACAGGATATGTGTGCGTTATCAACGATTAAGAAAAATTATGAACATATATTACATTAGAATCATTCGATACTATTAAAAAAATGTTAGAAAGATTAAAGTAAATGCATTTTATATGCATGCTCTAATTATCACCAATTGTAGAACAATTTATGTTTTTCATTGAATTTAAGTGGAATCAGATTATTTATATTTTATTATAATATTAATTATGTTTGTTGTCAAATATTAATGATGTCAATTAAATATAATATAAAATCATATCAATAAAAATCGCAAATAAAATTGTTTCATGATAGGAAGTTTGGAAAAAAATAAAGATGAAACGATGATGATGAATAATTTAACGATCATAAAAATATAATGAAATTTTTAAATATGATCGGTGTTGTGTTTAAAAACGACGATGTCGAAAGAACATCAAATAATGATGGTCCGGGGAAAAGGAGATGACATTTGTAAAATAGTTTGAGAAACTTAGTATTTTGAGCAAAGAAGTTTCTTTAAAGTGTCACATTATTATTTCTCAATGAAAATTAACGATAATAATTATAATGAAAGTAAATTAAAAATTCAATGATTCTACCGTAAATCTTTTTAAATTTTTATAATCAAATATAAACACTTTATGTTAATTTTAATTTCATAATTATATGTCATATTTTTAGATTTTCACACTTTTTTTTTTCTTTCACGAAAAATAATACTATAATCTGTTCACAAACAAATTTCTTTTTAAATTATCAACACTCATTAATAACCCCTTACTAGGGGTATAAACGAGTCGAGTTGAGTTCGAGTATTGTTGAGCTCGACTCGACTCGAAATTTATGAAATGAAGCTTGACTCGACTCAAAAACTCGTGAGGTTAAAATTTTCAAGCTCGACTAGAATTCGAAATCCTGAACTGAAGCTCGTGAGCAGCTCGACATGAAAAAAAAATCTTAAACTTAACTCAATTAAAGCATCAAACTCGAACATAAACCTTAAATATATGAAAATTTTAATGTATTTTAAAAAATAATATATAAATGTTAATATTATTAATAATTTATTTAAAAAAATAAAATCTTAATATATTATATTTTCGAGCTGCTCACGAGCTTTTCGAGTTTAATATTAAGTAACTCGTTTCGGCTCGTTAAGAACTCGAGTCGAGCTCGAGTCCGAGTCGTGTCCATTCAATCTGAATATTTATCGAGCTTTAATCCAGTCGATCGAGTAACTCGCGATCTGTCTCGTTTATAGCTCTATGCCTTACGGTGTACACTAGTTTCTAACCAAGCTCTCCCACTCCGAACCTCTCGATTCCAAGACCGTTACACCGATCCAAAAATTTGAAAGCATAACGGAGCCTTTACTGATTCCCGTTATGATCCGAACCGAAGAAAAAACCTCCACTTTTGCTTCCATTTTTAAAATCTCACCGAAGAAATGTTAATTCTCCATCGCCCTTTCATAATTCACAGCCCCGAAATGGTTTCCAAGATCATCAAGAAGCGATCTCCGCCGCGTTCCATCAAGCGCCACCACCGGAGAAAGACTTCTCCGACGAAGAATAATGCTTCGTTCTCAGTCATCTCCTCCCTCAACAAGTCCATCAAGACTTGCCGCCGCCGGG